CAAATTTGTCAAAAGTTATAGAATTTAAAAAGTTAAAGCCAGGCGCTTATAAGAATGCTGAATCCCATGAAACACTATAGATACAGAATTCATTAAGAGATTAGATTTTTACCATTTAATTTTACACCCAGCTGAAAATTTCAGATAAGACACAATTCCAATCTGATACGGTTTTATAATTCAACTTAACTGATTGCATTCGGACGAGAAACTTCAATGAATGCCCTGCAGGTCCTCCAGCTACTCCTATATTTCCTTTTAAATCTCAGGAAAACCCAAAGATTCTCCTACAGCACTGGCAATGACAGAAATCATCCATGAAAACCCAGGAACTGATCATATAGCAAGGTGTAACGTGTGTGTGCACAGTGTCAAAAGAAAAAAACAGCAGACCCTAACTATTAAGTGACCCTGGGCTTCTGAAAGGAACTGGACACTTCGGAAAGCCCAGGTACAGCAGGAGGTGGCACTATGTTCTGGACAGCACAGCAGCCCTAATCCTGTGGCTGATCCATCTCCAGACTTTGCTGTTTGCTCCTCTCCAGCTGAGTTGGAGTCTGGTTGAGCCACAAGGATCTCTGAAGTCTCCGCCACATGTCCTCTCTGTCACTAAGCATTTCCTTTCTTTGTTTGCTCCTGCCATTTTTAAAAATTCACGTTAGCCCTTAAATAAATAAGAAAAATACACCAGAATACCAATAGAAAAAATAGGCAAAAGACTTGAACAATCCATGCTTAAAGAGGAAAAGGAAAAAAAAATGTACATGTCAAAAAAGTTACTAGCATTTTTAGTAACAAAAGAAATAAAAGTTTCAAAAATACCATGTTCGTCTATCAAGTTAGCGAAGATTTTTCAAAAGATGATATTATGTTGGTGAGAACCAGGCATTCTGGCCAAGCATCAAGCTTACACACTCACACACACACTCACACTCACACACACACACACACACGCTAAACAGATATGCAGACAAAAGCCAGGCATAAGGATGTACATCAGTTATAATAGTAAAATATGGGGAATAACATAAAAATCTAAAAATAAAACAATGGCTACGTAAATTAAGACATCCATACATTGAATTATTTCCCAGTTGCTAATTGTATTAAAAATACCAAAACTGGCATTAAATACCAGTTTTAATGTTTTGGGAAACACCAAGAAAGTAATATTAATTTTTTAAAAAGCAAGTATGAAATTCTACACTATAATTCTAATTCTTTAAAAAATAGTATGCGTGATGTGTAATGACAAACTACCCTGTAACTTCAGTAGCAATTCCTTAGGCATTGAGATAATTCTAAATTCTTAGCATATGCCAAGCACATGTTCAGCACCTTATACACACTGCGTTATAGTTATGCTTATAAACATCTTAGGAGGTGGGTCTTTATCCTTGTTGAAGAAACCAAGACACAGAACAGGTAAGTAAATCGACCACGCTGAGAAAGCTCTTACGTGGAAAAGCCAGGACATAAGCTAAGGTCAGCTTGACCTAAAGTTTCTATTCATCATATCCATGTCTGCCCATGCAATTTAAAATTTTCTGTTTCATATATTTTTATGGGCTCTAGAGGTTCTAAAATAAACATTTAGTGCCTTTATAATTTGTAAACAAATCAAGAATATAAATGTTATATTAAAGTAAGCATATTCACAAAATGATGATTCTAAAAGTTGCTTCCTTCAAAGGTGTTGGACCATGAACAGGATCTTTATGATCTCAAACTAGTGTACTTAGTAATGAGCATGAGCACTCCTTTTAATAAATGTAATCCCAAAGGCTTTCATGAGCCATGTCAATTCTGCAACATTCATTCATTTAGGAAATACTTATTTAACACCTGCCTTTTGCCAGATATTGTACTAGGTGTTGGCACAACAGCAGGAGAACCAGTCTAAAATACTTTCTTTGGATATTAGGAAAGTCTTTGGGGGATAAGTGGAGAGGGAAAAGAGATAGGGAAGATGAGACTGTCAGACCAACACTGAAAGTCCTGGCTACATACATCTAAGGAATGTTTGTTTTTTTTTAATTTCCATAAAAACTTATAATATTTCTGAGGATCCAGGACACCCCCCTGTAAGTGTCATACACTTTGAAGCCTCTACAATGCATTCATATTTTACTCTAATTATACTAGTCAGATGAACTCGAATGCTTTTACACATCATATAGTATTACTCTCAGCACAGGCTGTATGTTTGCTTTCCTGGGTGGTACAATATTTTTATTGTTAAGTAAGCAGAACTGGACTATCAGAAGGATTCTTAGCAGAAATGCGGTTGGATGGAATTCCATTCCTCTTGGCTCCATACCTCTTCTTTTTGTCTGTGCCCACCTTCCACTTTTCCAGAAAACCTCATGTCTTTAAGCAAATGTCTTCTAACGTGAAGGCTATTGTCTTCACAGCTGTAGATTAACAGGTAAATGCTTTCTTACTTTTTAACTTACAAGTCAAACAAAATTTTTATCAATTTAGAACTAGATCATTTACTTTTACTTGGCTGTTTTAAAAAGATCAAATAAGTGAGAATACATATATTATAAATAAGTATATATTTTTCCTTGTCTACAAAGTCCCAGGCCCTAGTGATAGAAAATGTTAAGAATATTATTAAGAAAAATTATAAGAAGTCCATATGAATGACAATGACTTAGACTTTCAATATTGAGTTCAAATAAATTTGGATCTTGCAGGGAGATCCCTAAAAGCAAAGAGTTATCTATTTGAGAAGGAAAAGCTGAGATGCCTTAGAATTGAACATGGCCAGCAAATTAACTCTCCTTGTTAATTCGCTTCCAGGGGCACTAAATACCAAGGAATCACTGAGAAACCAGAGCAAAAAAGATCTAAGTATGTACAACAGATACCTTAAGTTGTTTGTAAACTAGGTGGTTTTCTTTATCTTTCAGACTACAAATCTAGGAGGAAGGATGAGTGCCCTTAGTTCTGGGATCAGACGTCACTGCCATGGAGATTCATCTTATTTAATAAATGATACCATCCAATCTTTTCATAGTAATGAACACTTGTTTTGTCATCTTCAAAAATCATATACTATCCTCCCATGGTTTCTCTAAATAGTTTTTTAAGATTATAAAAAATACTCAGTAAATCTACTCTCCTATGAGTGTGCTAATTACTGTTTTAGTTCATGCTAACAGAAGAAATGGCTTAATAACAGTAACTTAACTGGAGGAGGTCAAACTGCTCATTCATTTAAACTAATGAGTACAAATCACCTTTGCACTTAATATTAGGGCTATAATGTATATTTCACGAGTACCTGCTACTATTGCTACAAAAGGCTTTAGAAACAAATACAATTTAAAGTGTTTCCGTTTTCAAAATTATTTAACATGCATAGTGTCTAGGAGATATGCGACTAGCAGGAAAACTTTATTTTCCACTACAACAATAAAAACTGTTTCTTGTATCTCCAATTAAATGATTTCAGAAGGATTCATTACTCTGAAAACCAGTATGTATGAACGCCGGAAATTCAGATGACATCCAGTCTCAGAAATGTTTATTCGAAATGGGAACCAAACTATAAGATTTCTCTCTATTATTTATGATAGCCTTCCCATGATGGAAATAATCTCCCTGTAAAATAATCTAACAAGGAAGAAAGAAAGAAACAAACTATGGGAAGCCGGCAAAGTTCTCTGGACAAACCTTCCAGAGCCTCTTTTAAAGAAGGAGCCATTTATCGAAGGGCCAGGGAGGTTAGGAAAACTATGGCAGGAGCCAGGGTCAGTCTTCCCCGGAGCGACCGAGATTGTCCCAGGTGAGCAGTGTCCCGGGCTCCGGATGGAGGCTGAGGACGCAGGGCGGGTCCCCGAACGGCGGGCATCTTTTTGGCCAGGGACCCCCTCTCCGTCTCCAGAAGCCCCGCGACACCCCAGGCTGGCGCGGGCTGCCCGGGACGCGCTGCCAACAGCCTCCCGCTCGCGAGGAGCATCTCCCCAGCCACGGCTTCCGAGGCCAGCTCGGTCCCTCCGCCATCCTCAAGTCCTCCGACATTTTTCACGGAGACAGGGAGGTAGGGAGAAGGGGAAACGGCCGAACGTCTGCATGCAGACTGCCGCAGCACGAGAAGAGAAGAGGAGGAAGGAGGCTAGCGAAGAGGCGGCGATTAAACCGATGCCATCGACAATAAGAATCCTCATCACCCCCGGCAGGGGAGGCTCGGATACACCCACCCGGGCAGCGGCTCGGGGGCTTGGTGGGCGTTCCTCCTCCCGGTGCTCCCGTGGCTGTGAAATCTACCCTAAACCAAGCACAGGAGAACTCCCTTTCCTACGACTGACGGGAGGGGAGGAACAAAAGAGACCCGCACGCCCTACATACATACACACACACACACACACACACACACACACACACACGCACACTCGGCTCACCGAAGCTCTAGGTATGCATTTCTGCAACCCCTGTGGCTTACACCTTCCCCACCTGCTCAGTGCATTCACCTGAAGGTAAAGAAAGAAAAAAACACCACCCCGAGGGGACCGGTCGATGGGGCACCGTTAATTTCACATTCGGTTTTCTAACAAACCACCACGAAAATCCCGCAGGACCTCGCGCCCCCGCGGGGTCCCCGCCGCCCCCGGCCCTCTCTGCGGGTTCCGCGAAGGCGCCCAGCTCGCCGCTGCGGACCCGACCGAGGGCTCCCCGGGCGGGCAGGACACTCGCCCAGCCCCTCCGCGGCAGCTGGAGGGCGGCGAGCGGACCGCGCGGTGGCAGCAACGCGGGATTCAACTTCCCAAACCTGCGGCGCGGACCCCGCTCCCTCCCGCGGCGCCGCGGCCGGCGCCGAGACCCCCAGCGCCCGCAGCCGCCCCCGCTTGGGCTCCGGCAGTTGCACTCTCCGCCCCCTCTTTCCTTCACCTCCCCCAGCCACCACCTTTTCAAAATTCATGCATCGGTGCAAAGCAGACATTTTGATGTCATTTACTTAGCACCGCTCGGTTTCAGAGGCAACATCTTACCCAGTCGCCTGGAGGTGTGGGCAGCGCACCGATGGGTCCGGGGGCGCGAGGCTCGGCTGCTCGGTCCTCTAGCGGAGCGGGTTTGCTGCCATCCGCCCAACTTCAGCACCGAGCGGGCGAGGAGAGAGGGAGAGAGGCGAGGATGGAGGGGAGAGGGGAAGGGGAGGAGGGAGGGTGGGCGGGGAGCGAGCCGGAGCCTCTCGGCAGCGCGCATGCGCCCCGCGGCGGGCGCAGCCCCTCGCCCGGCTCGGCCCGAGGTGCCGCTTCTTCCCCCGGCGCGCGGCCGCGTGAGTCACGGCCCCGCCCCTCCCGGCGGCCCGGCCCCCGCGCGCTCGCCTCGGCTCCGCGCCCACGGAGCGGGGGTCTCGGCGGAGCTCTGCGGGAGCCGCGGGGACCCGGGAGCCTTCCTCGATCGGAGAGGCTCTGGCTCCTGGGCGCCTTCAACTTCCCGTTCGCCCGCAGTCCGCGCTGTTACTCGTGCTCCGTAGGAGACGGCTGGAAACCCGGAGCTCGTCTTTAGAGGGGGAGGAGCTGCAGAAGCGGGGTCCCCGGGGAAGCCGTCCCTGCGTGGGGCTTCGAAAAACTGTGGAGTCGAGCAAGTTTTGCTCCCCGAAGGACTTGACCATATGAGGAGTTCTTAACTTTATTGACGTCCTCACGCAGAAATCTGACCCTTTACCCTAAAGAATTATTTCGGATCAGGTCTGGGGGCATATATTCTGTCCCAGGCGTCTAGACCACTGGGACCAGAGTTCTGAGCGAGAAAAGTCGATGACAAGGCAAGAGCCGTGAATTACTAACCGAGGTGTTGATGCTGGGGGCCTGGAGCATCCTTTGGGGACAGCTCAGTAGCTCTCAGGACGGATAATTGTTCCATTCGCTAGCGGAGCCCAGCTTGATGGTGAAGAAGCTTTGCATGCTTAATGCATCATGAGCGCTAGATCGCATCTCCCGTGATTAAATTGAAGTGTTTGTGAGGGCGAATTAGGGAAGCTGGTGTCTCTCTTCAGACGTGACATCTGTGGGAAGAGGAGTGAGTTCCTGGCTGGAATGATTAGGCTTTTTTCTTATACCTACGTAAAACTGTTTACTTGTAAATATATATGATTTCCCATAGCCTGTGTGCGCCCCTACTTTCAAACAGTGTTACTCTTATGTCAGGCTCCCTTACTGAACACCCTCCTGGCCTTCCCCCCGCCCCCTATTTGAGTTCAATGTGTTTCAGGATTTGCTCCAGGGCCTTCTTTCTCTAGCTACAGCATGGCTTTGGGTACCAGTGTTCTTCAACGCCTATCCCCTGGGCTGGTGTTGGTCTGTAAATGTTCCATCCCGGTCTGTAATGAGAGATAAGGGCAGAAATTGAGAGTAACATTTAGAAACTTCCCTAGCATGCCTTGCTATCCAAGCACATTAGTCAGTTGCACTTGTAGGTCTTATTTTATTTGTAAAGTAATTCATTTTTGTTGGATTTTATAGAAGTATTGGTCCATGATACAAAAAAAAATTTTTTTTTAAAGCAAACAAATGTTGAAGAAATTAGGTCTTATGGTTTGGCCAACCTCAAACTGTGTGTCACTCCCAGATTTATTTCTTCAGTTCTGATCTCACGGAACACTTTTATGTTCTCTACAACCTTTATGGCTCCATTTGAAGAATAATTATATTGGTTAATATTTATTGAGCCATTACTGAGTGTTAGGTCCTAATCTAAGTGTTTTACATGTGTTTCTTATTTTCTCTACAAGGTGTATGCTATTATTATGTTTAACAGACATCTCAAAAGAGAACTGCAGATATCCACCCCCTCCAAACCTGTTCCTCTCTCAATTGTTCCACCCAGTTACTCTAGTCAAAATTTAGAAGTTATCTTTGTTTTGTCTCTCTTTTTTTTACTCTACGTCTAATTAATTAGCAAGTCACCTGTCTCAGCCTCCACAATGTATCCCTAGTTCATCCACATCTTTCCCTCTCCACTGCTATAACCATAGCCTAAGCTTCTATCTCCTCTCATAAGAACTATCACAGGAGCTACCAATCAGTCTCTCTTCCACAACCCCAAAACAACACATTCTCTAAATGACAGGTGAGTGATCTTTTAAAAACATAATTACATCAGCGGGCCTGGGTGGCTCAGTCATTGGGTGTCAGACTCTTGATTTCAGCTCAGGTGTCCATCTCAGGGTTGTGAGATCAAGCCTTGTGTTGGGCTCCATGCTGAGTGTGGAACATACTTTAAAAAAAAAATTAAAAACATAATCACATCATGTCATGTGCCCTCTTAAAACTCTCCAATGAGTTTTCATTGTACTTTTTTTTTTTTTTTAAGATCTTATTTAGTTATTTGACGGAGAGAGACAGACAGTGAGAGAGGGAATACAAACAGGGGAAGTGGGAGAGGGAGAAGCAGGCTTCCTGTGGAGCTCGATGCAGGGCTCAAACCCAGGATACTGGGATCATGACCTGAGCCGAAGACAGATGCTTAACAACCGAGTCACCCAGGTACCCCAAGTTTTCATTCTACTTTAAATGCAACCTCTAATCCTTACCACTGCCCAGAAGGTTCTACATAATCTTGTCCCAGCCTACTTGTCTTATACTATGCACGCATAGACCATAGCTATGTGTAGTGTTGCCATATCAGCCTATATCTTTTACTTTCTTGAAGTTTCTTAAGTCTAGCTTACAGTACTTGAGTCCTCTGCCTGGAGTCCTCTGCCCTCAGATCTTTGGAGTAGGCTCCTTCATATCTTACAGGTCTCTGTTAGGGCATCACCTACTCAGGCTTTACCTAACCACTCAATGTAATCTTCCTCAGAGTTCTTCGGTCTTGCATCATCTTGCTTTATTTTCTTCCATATACTTTTCCCTATCTGAGTCAGCTTGCATTTGTTTACTTGTCTATTATCTCCTTCTCCCCATCTTGAATAAAGTATCTTGAGAGCTTTGCCTGGACTTTACACTGTTTTATCTCTAGTGCTCAGAACAAGATTGGGCACTCCGTATATACTCAGGATTAAGCGGATGAATTTGTGATTGAATGAATAAATAACACAATTAGAAAAAACATTCTTTCTTTATTTTTTTTAAGATTTTATTTATTTATTTGTCAGAGAGAGAGAGAGAGAGAGAGAGCAAGCACAGGCAGACAGAGTGGCAGGCAGAGTCAGAGGGAGAAGCAGGCTCCCTGCCCAGCAAGGAGCCCGATGTGGGACTCGATCCGAGGATGCTGGGATCATGACCTGAGCTGAAGGCAGCTGCTTAACCAACTGAGCCACCCAGGCGTCCCACATTCTTTATTTTTTTTAAGCACTCTTTATTTTTTCTGATGCTTCTTCTTCTTCATGGGTCCTCATTGCTGCATAGCAGAATCTGTTGTTTCCCAGAAGAATGCAAATAGACTACAGTGTTTCCTCTGCTCATTCTATCAAAGATGGCTCCTTGCAATGTCACACATTTATTTTTTAATTTTTAAAATTTTAAAAAAGATTTTGTTTATTTATTTGAAAGAGAGAGAGATAGTAGGGCGCTTGGGTGGCTTAGTGGGTTAAAGCCTCTGCCTTCAGCTCAGGTCATGATCCCAGGGTCCTGGGCTCAAGCCCCGCATCGGGCTCTCTGCTCAGCAGGGGGCCTGCTACCTCCTCTCTCTCTCTGCCTGCCTCTCTGCCTGCTTGTGATCTCTCTGTCAAATAAATAAATATAAAAATCTTAAAAAAAAAAAAAGAGTGATAAACAGTGACAGAGAGCCCATGACCAGGGAGGAAGGGTAGAGGGAGAAGCAGACTTCCTGCTGAGCAGGGATTTGAATACAGGATTCCATCCCAGGACGCTGGGATCATGACCTGAACGGAGGGCAGACACTTAACTGACTGAGCCACCCAGGTGCCCAGCAATGTCACACATTTAAACTAGATTCCAGGGTTGTGTTCCTAGAACTAACTTTATGGCAAGCATCATCAGCAAAAAAGAGATCTTTTACTTCCATGAACTTCTCTAAACTACAATAATGGATACATGGGCAGTGTTTTGTACCTATGACAGTTTGGATATCCTGTCCATGATTTACTTGCTGAAGTCAAATGCAACTTCCTGGTGACTTTCTTTCACAGTTATAATTTGTTGTGAAATCCTTTATGCATTAACTAGAATCTTCATTGACAATGTTTTCGGAACTGGATGTATTGCCTACACCGAGTATTGAAGAGATGGGTGGAACTGACCACAGTTATAATGACCTTCACCTCATAGAGTTTGATTACTTGTGATCTATGTGTACATCTGGGTCTTAGGAAATATTTGCAATAGCAATGCATCAAATAGTGGCTTGGTAAATAAGTCAATTCAATAAACTTTATTAATGTCTACCATATGCCTGGAATTATATCTTCAAGTTTTTGCAAAAAATGTAAATGTTAGGGGCGCCTGGGTGGCTCAGTGGGTTAAAGCCTCTGCCTTCGGCTCAGGTCATGATCCCAGGGTCCTGGGATCGAGCCCCGCATCCGGCTCTCTGCTCAGCGGGGAGCCTGCTTCCTCCTCTCTCTCTGCCTGACTCTCTACCTACTTGTGATCTCTATCTGTCAAATGAATAAATAAAAAAAAAAATCTTTAAAAAAAATGTAAATGTTATACAAAATTATTATATATGAGTCAGAAATGGATTTCAGTTCATTTTAGCCATGGAGATGCCTTCTCTTTGCACAGAATTTTGGAGCTCCTTGGGCTTATCATTATCAAGCAGCTGTGTGGTAACTATGAAAATCAGTGTTTGATCATGATCATTTCCATACCATTACGAATGCATTTTTCAAGTAGAATCTGGATACAACAGCAGATTTTGGCATAATGACTTCATAGTAAGGCAGACAGGAGATTTGTAAGCAAGATATTTACAGACAGAAAATATTGGAAAAGGACAGAACATCAAAATGTTTACAGTACACTTACTCATATTTGGGGGTCTTTTTCATCATTAGGAGACCCGAAGTCTACCTCAGTGAGTCTGGTAACATTGGAAGGTTATTTCAGGAAGAAATTATGTAGCATCTTTACGTTTCATTTTCTCTTTTCCAACATGCTCATTTTTTAAAAAGCAATTATTTTACCTTTGAAAAGCAGAGGGGGACACCTGGGTGGTTCAGTCAGTTTAGCATCTGCCTTTGGTTCAAGTCAT